CGAAATTTGTGTAAACAAGCATCCATCACCCTTTCACTTCTAGTAGCTCCGCCTTCCTTCTCGTCCAAGCTTACAATTTCATTGAAGTCGCCAAAAATGATACACGGAACGGGACTACTAGCTTTGATACGGGACATAAGTTCCCAAGTTAAGTGTTTGTTTTCTTGCTCCGGCCACCCGTAAATGCCTACTGCTCTCCATGATGGAATGTCATTGTGATCACACACATCAACAATAAAATGGTGATTTGCATTTATATCTTTCCACCAAAACCCCATACTACCCTCTACTTGCGATAAGTTGGAACTTCCAGCACTCATACCACTTCTCCTGGGCTTCTTTTGAATCCCACGAACATGAGGGAGATGAAACTGCTCCTCCTCGTAGCTTCTAGCTCCCCTTTTATCCCCCACTTTAGTATTATTAGATTCACCTGCCATGGAGACGAGACTCTAGCTGTATCATCATAAAAGCATTTAGGGGATGACACCCCGTTATTGTAATCACATTCCTTCATCATTTTTAGTCTGAAAACGACTCGGAAGATCGAGTAATCAGCCTTCATTCCCAAGGAAACCCTAGAGGGTAAAAGCCTTAAATGCAATTAATGAGTTAAAGACTTAAAGAATATCATCAGTTAGTTCACTAAAATAACACAAGGGAGTAGAGTTTTCCATTGCGTGTTACCTTTTAGCACTCCTTAAATGTGTAATTCAAATGCTTCCAATAGATAGGTTTGTGGTATTTACTTGGGAGATAAGAAATTTTCACAAGGGCTTCGCGATTGGAGATCAGAGTACCATGGTGGTAACTTGGTAAGGCATCAGAGCCCGGAGATGTCATAGCAGTCTGAAGATGGCATTGCAGCCCAACGATGTCATTACATTACTGACCATTAGCTAACTTAAGCAACGGAGGGAGTTTCCTTGAGTAACCCTCGAGGGCAGTTAACATGCTTTCATTGCAGCTACTAAGTATGCTACTCGTAGCCTGAAAGATAGGCATAACTGTTCAAACCATCCCATCCCCATATTTCGGATACTAATAGAACAAGCCAAGTATTGAAAGACATTTGAATCAAAAGAAGGATGAAAACTAAAGAAATTTTTCCTTAATCATGTATAACTTTAGAAATGTACAAGTCTATTTGTCTATCATTAAACTACCTATCTCGCGTAGATCTATCATCTTCCATAAGTCTGATACTAAACCATTCTAGAAGTACTACCCCCACCAAGAAATGCTAGGATAAAACCATTCAAAATCCAATCAAACTGGCTGCATCCAACTTCCTAGACAACGAGCTCATATGAGTCATATCGATATGTTAAGATCAATCTTAGGCTTCTTATTCATCGTAGGCAAATGAACAACTGAATTGCACTTAGGACATTTAGGATCATTCTTCGATATCAACACATATAGCAAGCAAGCAGGACAAGCTGCAGCAATCAATAACCCTTCATTTTGATTATCAGAAGGCAAGGAATTCGACAACCTTGATGACTGCCGTTCCTCTTCACCAACTGACAATGACAAGGAATTCGAGGGTGATGGAGACGACTTTGATGATGATCTGACAGTCGTAGGCATCATCATCCAACGCTTCTTCGATGAAGACGACGAGGAAGTTGATGATGAGGATGTAGGTGAGGCTCTCTCAGCTCTATCAAGGGCTGATTTCACCTTGTCTAAAGTACATACACTAGAATAATTTGAGGGTTGATTATTAGGGATTAACTTAAGGTCTAAACTTGGTTGTTCAAGCAGTCCAAGTGTTGCCTTTGTATTGGATGATGATGATGATGATTGTTGAAACACATTTAAATCTTGGGGTTTGGTGGAAATCTCTTTTGCCATTTTCTTCTGTTCAGATGCTGAGTTTGCAGGATTGCATCTCTGTATGTAGACTTTTCCTGACTGAAAAACAATTCAGATACAACGCGTTAATAAACCCGAACATTAATTACACCAATCAATACGTGACACTAGCTAATACATAAACTCAAACATTAATAACACCAAGCAATACGTGAAATTAATACGTACCGTCTTATGATATACTATTACTATGTTCAATTTGCCCTTGGGGCTATGAATATGCAAACTCCTTTTTTATATATTTTTTTTGAAGCAATATATTTTTGGGTAGTGGACATGATACTTGAACATAATTTTTTTTGGTTATTTATTTATTTATTTTTTCTATCAGAAAACAGAACATAGTACTACTCATAAGTAGTCTCGAAATACCCTCAAACAAACACAATTAAGAAACAGCTTTAGCAAGGTTTTTTCTTTCTTTGAAAAACTACAATATTAATTACTCTTCTCAGTCTTTAAGATTGAATTTTGACCACTTACATTTCAAAAAATTATCAATATTATACAATGTACTATAGTTACGTTTGAGGTATGTATTAATTCTTCATATTTCTTCCGTTCTTCTATAATTGCATCGTTTGAACTTTCACATTTGTCAATCACAACTTTTGACTGTATTAATATCCTTAATTATCTTTTGTAAACTTTACAAAAAAAAAAAATAGATATTTTGAAAGTACATATTGACACGTATCTAACCAGGTTACACGTGATTAGTAAAAACTCCATCCAATAACGGAGGAAGTAACTTCCATCAACATGTATTAAATATGAATCAACTCCACCATTATCAACCAGGAATATCAATTTAAGCATGCCAACAAAATTAATTGTCCTGACCTTCAAATTTAAGGTAAGGTACTAGGATTATGAAATAATTATTAAAAAGTTAATCAAGATTTGAACTTTGTAACATCTTAACATTTACAGATATAATCAGAGGAAATATGAAAAAAGAGAAATAATAGAAAAAGAATGAACGTGAGCAATCACTATATGCTTAAAAGTCACACATTGATCATCGTAGCATTTATTATGTCACTTGAATGATGCAATAAATTTCTGAATTCATAAATAAATACATTTCTTCAACATTAAAAACGAAAAAAAAAAACCAAAAATATAAAGTGCAAAATTTTAAATGAACTACTAGTATAACCCATACATGATCACCGATCATCTATTTACAAAAAGGTCACGAGTTCAAACATTGAATAAACCTTTTTAACTCGAGTAATCAAAACATACTAAACGAAAAGTAAAATAAAATAAAATTATCGTACCTTAAGATCAAGACGTTTTTCCCAACCATTAGGAACATGCAAATCAAGGTCTAATTCTTTAGATTCAATACCAAAACACCCACCAAGAAAATCACGAGTAATTAACCCAGATTTTGTATTATTATCTTTAATCAACATACTAACATCAGCAGCCATAATTTTATTCAAATATATGTTTTCTTTGAAACAGAGGAGAGAGAAAATTGGAAGAAAGAAAAAGTGGAGATATGAAAAGAATGAAGAAGAAAGAAAAATGAATTAATAAATAAAAAAAAGGGGAAGTTCGAATTTATTACGGGGTGGGAAGAAAATGATGAAAATTAAATGAGGGTTTGGAATTGGGTGTGAGAAAAAAATTAAATAACCATTAATTAGTTTTGGTTTTATTGGTGTTGGAATTTAATGTTATAGCCAAGAATGAAAGGAGCGTAGTAGTAATAAAGAAGGGATATTGAAGAGTTGTGGGGTAAACTTATTAATTAATTTCTTAGGAGAGAGAAAATATTTTTATTTTTTTATAAAAATAAAGGAGGCGTGTGAGTAATTGGGGGGTGTATTTAATGTTGTTTGATGATAATTAATTAATGTAACAAATTGCTGTCTTTTATTGTGATTGTTTTCGTATTCTTTTTATGGTCTATATTGGATTATTAATTAGGTCACCTACTATGACAAATCTTAAGTACTTATGATGAATGACTTGTACGTCCCTTGGCAATTTGGCATCTTTGGTCTATATTAATGTACATGTACATACGGAGTTATTGTGTGAATTTATAATGAAAGAATATTTCGTGGATGGATGGATGGACCTACTTGTTATTATTGTTAGGGTTGTTCTATTGGGCATGAGGGTCGGAGAATTCTGATATGGAAATTTTGGGTCGTGGTTTGGGTTTGATTAGTGCGTTGGGGATTAAATTGACCTGTATGTCAGATCTAAGTTTTCATTGTGTTGGATCGTGTCATGTTTTCATAATTATTATTTTACGTCAAAACTTTAGAATTTTGAGTTTTGACATGCCCTTTCTGTTGCGATCGTGCCTTATGTATCCTGATTGAGCCGGGTTAGGGTAGACCGGTGCCGTCTTTAAAAATTCCAATATGACCAATTTGAAATCACGTCATGCTCATTATGAATAAATAGGGGAGGTGGGGTGGGGCTTAGTGGGCACTTAAGTAGTCATACTATGTAAAAGTACACCCAAACAATATAACCTGATTTGCTCGACTTGAATAGTTAAATCATCAAAATTGTACCTAAAATTAGATGATTTAAATTGCAATTGATTTGAACCAAATGAATACGTAGTAAAATCGAAAGTTATCCATTTTCCTTAGTAAAATGTAAAAATGACTGCTCCGTTACTCTCCAAAATCGAATACTGTATTTTCTTTGTCATATGTATAGATTTTTAAAAGCTCACGGGCCATTCCCACACAAAAGAGCCAAAAAAAAGTACTTATATTATCAAGCATAACTTCACACCTCTCGTCCATTACGCCGTTTCGCACGCTCTCTATGGGACCATATACCACAATTGTAACAACAAATACCAAGTAATCCAACTTCAGATTTGACCGAACATAATAATGCAAAACAAAACAATACACGAAGTCTCAATCCTCCCAAATATCAACCACTGATATTTCAGAACAAAGTACTTATAAACTTTGGAAGCATGCCTCTTTTCTTCTTGCAAAGGTTGAACTCGAGTTTTTTCAAGACTGAATTCAGCATCTTTTGTTGCCATTTTCCCCCCTAAATTCACCCCTAAACTTGTGTCAGTTTGCTTCACTAGTTTGTAATGAATTACTCCGTTTTCGTATCAGTTTGATGGTTATAATGAGTTTTTGATGGTGAATTCCCATATGCAATACTCAAGGTTGTGCTTACAAGCCGACTATTGGAGATCGAACATAACACAACAACGTCGACAAGTCATGGGGTAAATGGAGGGGGGGGGGGGGGGATGGATTTTCTGCTTACAGTTCAGCTTAAGCTATATGTATACTCCTATCTCTGACTCTAATATTAGTCTGTTAGAGTATCAGAGAATACATTTGCAATTCTTGCAAACAGTATGGAATAAAAAAACTAATGTACGTAATAGTTTTTATGATTGTACAAACCCTGAAGCACCAAATTCATCTTACTCGAATTTGCTGAAGGTAGTTAAAGTGTTTAACCAATGAAAAGAATTTGCTGAAGGTGTTTGTTGAATCTTTACCTAAGCAACTTTAAGCTCAGCCAATCTCAAACAATCAAGATCCTCTGAGAATAGTACGCCACTAGGAGAAAGAAGGCGTCTAAGAGAAATCAAGAAGCGTGCCTGTGTATTGTATGAGAGAAAATTGATCAGAAGATGCCTAATGACTTGCTCTGAACAAATATGAGTTACTCCATAACAAACTTGAGAAAAGAAAGGTACCCATTGAAATCCAACAAGGGCACTCCAACAGCCTAATAAGCCTAATCCTTGACTTCTTACGAGCTGTCAGATTATGAACAAATGCAGGGATATGCATCAATTTCACCCGAGGAGAAGAGGATAACAAATTTTATGATTGTAAGATATTTGTAATACTAAGGAAGATCAGCAGAATACCAGTAATACAATTGCGCCTAAAGCAAAACATCCACTCATTGATGTACTAATGAATTTGAGATCCCTGCCAGCCTTCACACGATAAAAAGTGAAACATCTCAAATTCTTAATCTGTTACTTGATCATCATATCAATAGCTACAAAAATTAAACACAAAGCGACAATGAAGCAGCATGTGTCAAACAGATCAGCAGAGTTGGGTTTGGGTCTATCATCATAGATTTCTGGATTTGAAGTGCTTATACGCATCATAATTATCGGGCTTTTGAAATATTATTCACATTTGGTCTTTTTCTCAGTCAGGTTTAGGTCTGTGAAGCTCAATTTGTGGGAAAGAATTTTAGGCTAACTTTTCAGGGACTTTCATATATCAAGATTACAAATTTACAAGTTAGATTTAGTCAGATGTAACCCGGTTGGGTCAACAACTGACAGGATGCCAGCCAACAAATTGACTGTGATACTCTTAAATATAGCTCCACAAGTGGAAAACTATATTTATCGCAATGAAATAGACAATATTCAATGAAACAAGGAAGCAAATTAGATTTTACCAGCAATGTACCCTCACAGGGGAGTATACAAGGTGTCACACTCAAAGCAAGGAAGAAACAAATCCAAACATTGCGCATCTGCATACAGAGACAACTGCCGTTATTCCAAAGGATGTAGACATAGTTCAAAACCTTAAGACACCAAGATACAGAATGGGCGAAGATTGTAACAAATTTAACCAACCTCTCTTATTACTACTGTATCAGATGTGAAGAGATTAGGAACAACAAAAGGGATTGCAGTTGCGGCAGTTCCTAGAAGAAGTCCAAGAAACGCTCCTATTATCAGAAGAGACTTCAATAGAGATCTCGCCTGTTCGTAAAAACAAACTACAAGAAAGTTAAGATGTCTTTAAAACCTTAAATGGAAATAAGGAATGACTTCGAGATTTTGGCTGTACCTACTGCATATAATGTATTGATGTTAAAGTTCTACCAACAAATAAGGCACTCTGTATATTTTCCAATATCTCACACTTTCCTTTTAAGTCAAAAAATTTAAAAAGGTTAACATTCCTTCTATTCTCATCACATGGGTGAACATTCTCATCCCTCTCTTCAACACATGAGTTAATAAGTGTTTCATTAAAGCTATTAAAAACAACAGGAGGATTTGTAATGACAATGTCATGGATAACAATTACCTTTACTAAACTTCGGTTGGCTCCATACAATAGCTCGGGCATAAATGATTGTGCAGTTTGAGAAAGGGGCTCACCCCATACTGAACATATGCCAAATATATTAAGCAACACCTACACAGCAGTCAGTTGAGAGCATATAAACTGTTTGATAGGAGTCTGCAATTAAAATAGAATTGGGAATCCCTGAACATTAGGCAGGTTTAGCTTACCTGATGAGCAGCCACTACATGTGAGCCCATAGACGTAGCAAAATATATAAGTAGACCGTAGAAGCCCACCTGACACGAAATAGGATAGCTTACATAAATTAATTAGGAGTAAAAAAATGCTAGGATCAGATGTGAAGTTACTATAATGGTAAACCTTAGAAACCATGGTTACAAAGACGGGGGCAGCAATCCCAGTTATCTCTTGCAGTTCAGCAAGTGATGGAACTGAAAAGGAATACCCATTGTAACCTTTTCTATTCAAACCATCAATCATCACATAAGCTGCAGCAATCTGAAAGATCATTCCCACAATTTAAAAAATGGTGAATACAAATATGTAGACAATGGAATGATGAAACGATTGAATGGGCTAAACATTGATACATAAACAAAGATTATATCCAGTTAACACACTTGTGATGCTGCAGTTGCCCACGCTGCACCAGCTATCCCATAATTTAAGAAGGTACAGAGTATTATATCACCAAGGCCATTGAGAGCACTGGCAATGAGTAGAGCCTTCAATGGTCCCAGGGAATCTTTCATGCCTAGACTGGAAATTAGGGGCAGAACATCATTACATTAGCATATAATTGAGGCTTTTTGTTGATAAACAAGAAAATACTAACATGCTTAATACAACAAATGGCAATTGCGTGTTTTTGTAGGCCAGGTGCTAAAAGCAACTGATTATATAAGGTAAATAATATGCAGTGTGTTTTACCTGGCACTCTGAGCAACATAGCCAACAAGTATGGCAGGCCATGCTAAGGCACGAATCTATCAACCCATGCAAAAAAGAAATACAACAAATAAGCTGAAGGAAACTTACGCACCAGTAAACTTTGGTATTAAAAAAATATAAGATGTGAGTGTACAGTTACTTGAAAGAGAAAAAAATATTGAAAAACATTTAATAGAGCATGAGTTCACTTGCATCCTTATTGAACATTTATGAGTCAGAAAAACAAGCTACTACAATGGTAGCGAAGTTTATTCAAATGCTGATTTTGCAAAGCATGATTGTCAGCAACATATTGAAAGTTCATAAATAACCATTGTACTCTTATAAAGGGTCTCCAGTTTTTCCCATTCACAATCTAAAAAATACTTAATAGATGTAAGCTGAGAAAGAAGAGCTTATATTCAAATTAGGAATGCACAAATTTTCGACAAACTACTTAAGATATGTCATATATATATCATATCTTATTTGGGAGTATTTGAGCACGAAAAGCATAGTGAAATTTATTAGTACTTCTTAGTGTTCTGACAATGCTCCTATTAAGATGAACATTGCACATTATCAAGTGCACAAAATCCTCTCATTCCCAAGCAGAGTAAACAGAAAGAACACATATCAAAAACAAACCTGTATATACGAATTCGCAGCAGATACAAGATTCACATTCTTAACTCCCACAAAAGCTGAACGAAAACACGGAGATATGAAAAATGAGATGGTGGCAGTCTGGGGATGGTGAAACAACACAATCTACTCAACAGCGGAAATCAAAATCAAAACAGAAAAATAAGGTATTTTCATGAGAAGTTGGCATGTGGATGTGGTAGCAACAAAGTTCTTGTACCAGTTTCAATTACCAGTTAAAGCCCATTCACCGAAGCCTTTTGTCAGTAAAAACAACAGCAATCCACTTGCCAGACTTATGAATATTAACATGGATATCTGATGCTGCACTTGATCCTCATCCTGTTTCAATTACATGCAAGTGAATCGTGACTGTGTGCAATATTAAACAGCAATTACGAATCACACTATATGCATATTAGTAGATTACACAGTCTGATTTGATAGTCATTGTTGTTCACAGATAGTTCCAATTCCCACCAACATTGGTATAAAGTATGGCATGTGTATGTTGTCTATGTTTGATGTAGTTAACATTAACAATCATCATGCCTAATGAAAATATATCCAAAATTATCAAATAGATACATTTGATTCTCGAGTAACTAAAACTCAATTGGACATTAATAAGAATACCAATACTGCAACAGTTCCGATCTTTCAAAGCCTTAAAAAACTTACAGCCCATTCGATCACTGGTAATAAATGGACGTAATAAGAATAAATATGTACATAAATTCGTCAGAAATATCAATTTTCATTCTCGTGGTAATGCTAGATCACCAAAAATTATCTCTCTTTCTTCACATATTTCATTACCGTCCATTACCACTTGGGAGCAGTATTAGATGGTTTCAACATTTCCTTATATAAAAACACAATGTTGGGAATGAGATTGCATTACTATGGACTTTAAGATGTTACTTAGCTTGTCATATCACACATAAATTCATTCTCATTAAGATAAACAGTATCTCATTCCTTGATAACACAACATCACAAATCACAGTTACTAAACCTGCCCTTTCAACAATTGACATGTAATTAATCAATGACAAACTATTACAACTTGGTAAGCACATAAAAGTAAGAATTATAAGATGGTAAAGCAAATGACCTTTTGAGCTAGTGAAGTAGCAACCATATTGGAAGTTGCAACTGAAAGAAACATAAACACAAATCCAACATAATCACATAGTACAGTTGCTGGACCTGCCCATTTATTAACATATAAAATCAATCACATTATATTAAATCAACCTTATAATCATAATCATAATTTAAAAAAAAAAAAAAAAAATCAAAATTACCTAAAGCAGCCAGCTCAAGTGAGCTGCCTTGGCCAATAACAGCAGTATCAATGAGACTCATCAAAGGCCCACAAATCCAAAGCCCAGTAGCAGGCCCTGAAAACTTAATAATCTCAATCATTTGATCCCAAGTACTTTGATTAGCAAATTCTTCAGCTTCATTTGTGGGTTCTGAAAATTGAAGGTTATGAATTTCTGGGTTAATCTCAAAACTACTAATTTCGGGCTCTGGTTCATGGGTTTGAAGATTTTCACCCAGAAATTCTTGGCTAGGACTAATACAACCAACTTTTTGCAAATTTTTGGGAATTTGATGGGATTCAGGAAAGCATAAATTGAAGGGCTTAAGTGGGATTTTAGGGTGCCGCAAATTGGAGGAGAATGAAAATTGTTTGATTAAGGGAATTTCGATTTGAATGTTAAGAGAAGGGGAGATTATGGCTTTGAATTGCATTTTGGCTGGTATATTGCTGTCTAAAGAATTGGAGAAAGATTTGAAAAGTTGAATGGTGATTACTGAATTAATGCAAGTATGCAACTGAAGAACGATAGAGAAGAAATCGAATTTTGTGGAGCTAAGCAAATGAGGATGTACAAGTTGCATGTACAATTTGAAATTTGGAATTTGCTATTTTTGGACTTTTTTAAATGCCTTTAACTCAAATCAATCATTGATTAAATTGTTTCTCTTTGGGTAGAGGTGAACATGGGACGGATTTGTGTCGTGCCGAATGAAAAAAAAAAGGTCGATCTGGATTAGGGATGCCAACCCAAATAGGAGACCCGTCCCAACGGGGCGGGAATGGATCTTGGTTTGGCGGGTGGTGGGGTGGGGATGGGGATAAAAACCATACCCGCCATGAGTGATGGGGTGGGGTGAATTTTAGGTTGTACCCGCCTCATCCCGCCCCGCCCCACCCGCCCCGCTTCGTACCCGCCCCATCCCCACATCCATATATTTTTTAAAACAAAATTATATACTTTTATACTATTTTATAAAAAAAAATTATGTAAAATAAAATAGTAAATATAATATTTTGTAATACACTTATATTATATCAAAAAAAATGTGTAATATTAACAATAATTTTTTTTTATTTTTGCAATCTTTATTAATTATGAAAGATTGTGTATTTGGAAGGCAGGGATTAGGCGGGTCTTAGGTGGGGGTGGATATCCAAGTGGGGGTTGGAGTGGGGATGGTTTTAGAATTGTACCCGTCGGGGCGAGGATGGGGATGAATTTTAGACCCGCCGCGGGGATGGGGATAGGGATAGGGATGGGGATGAAAATTTTAGGTGGGGGTGGGGGTGGGGATGGGAAAGCCAACATCCGCCCCGCCCCGCCCCGCCCCATTGACATCCCTAATCTGGATGAATATGCTTGTACAAAGCTCATAAATTTTAATGGGGCTTTTTGGGCCAAAAAAAACACTAAAAATTTTAAAATATTTGTCTATAGCCCACCTAAAAAAATTCTAGTCAGATCGGCCAACCTTTATGTCCATAATGTATGTTTATCTTTTCGATATATATGTTTTTTCGTTTTTAGTATGTAGATAGATTTGTAATTTACCATATGCCTTGATTTTATCAATTAACAGAGTTTCCCAATCAAACGTTAGTCAGCTTTTAATGGAGAATTCGAATCTCACCCCTCAATGAAGAAAGGGAAACTTACGTGTAGTTTCAATGGAGAAATCAAAACTCACAAACATCTTCAATGGAGGACTGAGAAACCCTCCCCTTTGGCCTTTTCGGGTTAACCACTAATCTTGGCGTTAGTCTCTCTCCGTCATTGCATGTTTATTAAGGGCTTGTTCATTATCGTTTTTTTGTTTCGGGTTTTAAAACAAAACTGTGGAAACTGATTAGGGGATTTTTATCCTCCAATCACCGTCTGACAAGTGGACCAACCAGGTTCCGCCATGTGTCCTTCACGTAGGCCAATAGGAGCCTGCCACGTGTCAATCACAGATACGTCCTCTGCGGACCAATTGAGACACGCCATGTGTCCACCCATGCCAAATGGGAAAACCGGCCACCAAGGCCCAATCCTGTTTAGAAGCCCGGTCAGCCCTAGGTTTACCCTAAACCTAGAGAGTGGCACGCTTCTCAAGACTATAAATACTCCTCTTAATCCTCATTAAGAGGCAGAGACAAGACAGAAAGAGAGAGAAGATTACAAAAAATACATTGATTACACACAGTAATAACCGGCTGATCTCGCTAACAAAGCAGATTACCAGCACTAAGCACTCTCACCTAGAGAGACCTTATTACTTTAATTTCCGTATTAATTACTCCTTAATCAGGTACTAACTTGACCGTTGGAGGCGGAGCTCTCAGGAGTCTCCGTTATTTTGCAGGTACAGGCGTCCGGTTCCAGTCTCGGAATTGTAACTCTCCCGCAGGACATCAGGAAACCCCGAAACATTTGGCGCCGTCTGTGGGGAGAGTACTTCTGAGATGGCATCCAAGTCTATACCGACTTCTGAAGAGAGGCGTCCCCTAAACGACCCTCAAGTTCAGTCGGACCATGACACCGAAAGTGAATTTGAAGTGGAAACTCATACAGCTCCAGACGGGACCCTAAGGGCCCGACGTACCCGTCATACCGAAAGGAGGGAACGGGAGCATCTTCAAACAGGAAGCGAGCCAGCAGGCGCCCAGCCTGCTCGGCAACAGCCGACTGATGGGTCTGCTCCCATCACAAGGAACGAACTTATGACCTTCATGAGGGGCTTCAAGGGAGAGATTCAAGAATTGATCAACAAAAAGCCGCCTGCTGCAGTCAAAGAGCAGTCGGCCAAAAAATCTTCCACTTCACTGAAGAGGAAGCCAGTTCAAGGGCGAGAGGCGACCCCTCATCCTAAATCCAAGAAGCGGGAGCCGCTTGCTCTTGATTTCACAAAATTCCGTCATCCGATGGGAAATAGGAAACCTGTTCGTCACATTCAGGCGGATGGGTCGAAGAAAACATACACAGACGCTCGTCTGTTGTTAGAACAGAAGAAGAGTGACCGACTGTCAGAGTCGGCCTCTACTTCAAATTTCCAAGAAAGTTTACAAAATACCTCGATGAGGCATACTCAGTCGTACCATGAGAGTCAGTCAGGCGGTACCTCCCGTCAGTCCGGCTTTCATAGTGCCCAGGCGGTACCAAACTTACCATTTGTGCCGCAACAACAGTATTTTATGCAGCCACCTCCATTTGGTGGACCTGCAGCAAAAAACGTCCAACCTATGGACTGGCAGCTACGGTTGCTTAGACTTGGTGAACAGCCGTCGGCCTTCTCCAAGGAAATTACTGAAGCCGCTCAACCGGCCAAAGTAAAAAATGTTCTAGTAGGCGCCTATGACGGCACTACTAACCCAGAAGACCATCTGATGGCATTCACCAACCTGATGTACCTTCAAGGGTTGGATGATCCCACTTGGTGCAAGTGTTTCCCAGCGACTCTCAAGGGAATCGCACAGCAATGGTTCGGCAACCTGCCGACTGGTTGTGTAAACAGCTTCAGGACGCTTGCTTACTTGTTTGCCTCCAACTTCGCCATGAACATCCCTGCGAAGAAAACGACCCTTGATTTGGGAACAATTCAGCAGGGCGAAAAGGAGGGGCTTCGTTCTTACATCAGGCGGTTCAACCTGATGAGAATACAGATTCAAGGGTTACCGGATGAGGTAGCTTATACTGACTTTTTTAGAGGTCTCAAAGACGGGTCTACCTTCAAATTTGACTTAGTTCGAAAAAGGGTGGCGACTCTTCAAGAGGCCTTGATTGAAGCAGAAGCCTATATACAGGCGACTGATCTGTGTACGATAAAACAGTCGGACGGGAAAAGGTTCGACAAAAGAGAAGGACGACAGAAACAGTCGTCTAACAAAGAGGAGAAAAGAAAAGAGGTCTGGGCGGCTGATTCCTCTAAACAGCCGGCTCGGAAAAACAAAAAAGAATTCAAACCATACTCCCCAAAGTATGTGTTTAACAAGGATAACCAGTTTATCCTAAAAGAAATAAAGGGACGGTTCTCAATTGAGAAGCCGCTCCCCATGAAGGGTTCTGCAAGCAACCGGAACCAAGACAAAATTTGTGCTTATCATGATGACGTTGGCCATCACACCAATGACTGCATCAGTCTCATGCGGTACCTAGACCGCTTGGCTGAGCAAGGTGATCTTGACACTTATGTCAAGAAATCTACGGGGAACACTTCCTCCAAAAAGCAGTCGGCTAAAAAGAATCAACATACCGACAGCTCTGATACAGATGATGCAGTCGTCTACACCATTGCAGGCGGCTTCTCAGGAGGCGGCCCCACTATTAGGGGCAACAAAGATAATATAAGGCGGTTAGATGTAAATTCCGTTCACCAAGAACGGCCGTCCAAATATACATTTCCTGAGATTGTCATCACTGAAGAGGATCTAGGAGGGGTAAGGGGGCCGCATGACGACCCTCTCGTTATTGAATGTAAAGTGGCCAACCAGAGAGTTGGCCGAATCCTCATAGATACTGGGAGCTCCTCAGATCTCATCAGCAGCAAATGTCTGTCAAAACTAAAATATCAGACGGACTGCATACATCCGGCCTCTCACCCTTTAATAGGGTTTGGAGGAGGAGTCGTCCATCCACTGGGACGAGTAGATTTACCCATTCGCCTGGGCGAAAAAGGGGAAGGACGACACATGGTAGTCCGGTTCCTAGTAGTAGAGGAACTCTCGGCCTACAACATGATTCTGGGTCGACCAACCCTGAATAATTCCAAGGCTGTTATAATCCCGTCTCTTATGCTGCTTAAGTTTGAGAGGGATAATGGGACAGTCGGCTCCCTAAGGGGAGATCAGAGGATGGCCCGAGAGTGTTATCTCTCGGATGTCAAGCCTACTGTTATGGCCACTGGGTCAAGTGGAGGAAAAACAGACCTTGACAATGTCAAGGAGAGTGCGCCTGTTCAAGAAACAGGCGACAAAAAGAGAAAGGTGTCCCAGACAGAGTCCGCAAGAAAAGCAAGAAAATAGCAATCATTGGCAGAGGAGCGGCCGGACGAGTTCCGCCCTCAGCCGGCTGGTGAGAATGCGGACCTGATATTAGACGACACACGTCCTGACCGAACAGTCAAAGTTGGGACGACTGCTCTGAGAAACCTTGGTGACGACCTTCACAACCTGTTAAAAGAATACAAGGACATCTTTGCATTTGAAGTCCATGAAATGCCAGGCATTAGTCCTGATCTGGCAGTACATAAACTCGCTGTGGATCCGAAAAAGAAGCCGGTACGGCAAAAGAAGCGGAACCATGGCGAAGAAAGAAGTCAGGCGGCAGCCGCCGAAGTTAAAAAATTACTTGATGCAGGGTTCATTCGGCAATGTTACTTCCCAGACTGGGTTGCAAATGTGGTTCTTGTTAAAAAGCCGAATGGTACCTGGCGAATGTGTGTAGACTACACAGACTTGAATAAGGCGTGCCCCAAAGACAGTTACCCTCTGCCTAAAATTGATAGCCTGGTCGACTCAACAGCCGGCCATGCCTTGATGAGCTTTATGGACGCCTACTCTGGTTTCCATCAAATTCCTTTGTGGAAGAAAGATCAGGAGAAGACGGCCTTCGTCACTGATCAGGGGTTATACTGTTACACGGTCATGCCGTTTGGTCTTAAGAATGCCCCGGCCACCTTCCAACGTATGATAAACACTGTGTTCTTTGATCAACTTGGGAGAA